ACATTTAATGTTACTTTTTTCTAACAAACACAAAAGCCTATATTATGTGATAAACATCAAAGAACTCTGGAAGTCTCTCTACATACTGTAATTATTTTCGCGTTGAAGAACTTTTGCTTTCCTAATTCATAAATTTAAAAGAATTTACACATTTTAATTTCAATTAACAAAAGGATGAATGTGCTTTCTTTAAAGTTTGCAAGGCTGGAATCCTTGGATTTCAATCTGAATAGCAAATTAGGCTCCCACTTCCTCAATCTGAATAATGCTTTGAACTATCTTGAAAAGTTTTAAATTACTTAGAAACAGACCCAACATGAAAGGACCTTCACAACTATAATGGCAGAAAATTGAGGCTGAAATAAATACAAATTACAATGCCTGATTATGGCCTGCGTAAAACCCAAAAAGGTAATCAGGGCGCCCCGCACCCAGTAAAGAATCATCTTAATTAGGTGGAATGTATTTCAGCCAATATAATGAAGACGTCTGCTTTGAAGTTTTCAATTACAAGATAAAGTGTCTGACAAAAATAGCCTTTTTCCCTATTCCAGTAATTCTATTTAAAATCCCTCTCTAAGAGCCACTATGGATTTTCTGTTCCTTGCACTTTACTTAAATCATAAGCAATGTACAAATATTTTTATTAGCTTGTTCTATGAACTTAAAACTATATGGTCTTTAATTACTTTGGACATGGCAATTTCTAAGAAAAATAATTAGTTTTTGGAAGGTTTGATCTACTACTTATGCTTTTAAATTATATGGCAGCTATTTTTAATACAGAAAAATACACGTGCACATACACACACACTTGAGTGACTATACTCTTCTGTTTAGATAATCATCTTAAGCAGATGCTTCCGTTTTCACATAATTTACCTTCTTGGAAACATAATAGTTTCAAATTAAAGGTGTAAAAATAAGATTCTTTCATCCCCAAAATATGCAAAGCTGTACCACTGTACAAGTAATACGGTCAGATGCATATGAAAGTAAAGAAATACACGCCACTATTATTTAAAAAGTATAGGCTATTCAGAATTATACAGCTTAAATTACATTTAACTGTGATTTTCTGAGATAGGATTTTCTATCATGGGAGCAATCTGTAGTCATCAGAATTTGAGATTATATCATACGTTTGACTCTACCTCATATGCACATGTTATATTATTCATAGCATGTAAAGAGAAAATATAATTGGTATGATTTGGCTATTTTTTTTTCAACTTACATCCACCCTTATTTTTCTCTTTTCCTACTAATTATAGGATGAGGCAGAGAAGGACTTAACAGACCTCCCAGAACTGTCTCACCAAACTAGATACACCTCCTGAGCTCTAAATGCATTCAAATTGCCAGTTTCTACAATGAGATGGCTTACAGGGATTTTAAGTCTAACACGCATAAAACAGAGCTCATTTCTTTGGCACTATTTTCTTTTACATACTTTAATACCCCCCTTGCCTACTCGCCTCTGCCAGCCCCCCAAGATTGATTTACGCCCTCCTCCTCGGCCCTGCCAGTGAGTGACTACATCCCAGAATCTCTCCTGAATCCACCAATCCCTTCCTTCTTTGGGATTCCAGATCTGCTCATGTTTTTCACCTGGACACTGGTACCAAGATATTGATTTATCTAACATCCTTCCAAGACTCTGTTGTCTCTGACACAGATATGTAGGCAATCTTTCTAAAGACAAGTCTGACCGCAGCTCTCCACTTCCTGCAACATCATCCACAGCTTTACAGGGCTTTCTTTCTCCACGTGTGTCTTTATTCACTGCACAAATAGTCACTCAGAGCCACCACTAGCGGCCCTCCTAGCAGGCATGCTCGCAAGCCGGTTCTCTGATGGGAATGACCACCAGGCCATTGCACTCCTCCAGACTCCAGCTTCTTCTGCAATCTTTGCTGATTGCCCACTCCCTAAGCACCCTTCTGCTCTCAGTTCTTCTATTCTCACATATACCTTTCTTCTAGAATTTACTCTTAGCCTGTGAGGACTTCTTTACTTCTTGGTGTCCACCCGTCAACCATAGGTTGGGCGCACCTTGAGACCAAAGCTTTTCTTTGGGCTACTTTCTTACCTAGCGGCACACCATTTACGGATTCTGTAAGTATTTGTGGACCCAATAAATATTTATAACTGGTGCTGGGGATATAGCCCAGCGGTACAAGCACCTGCATGGCAAGTGCAAGGTTCTGAGTTCGATTCCTGGTACCAAAAAAATATGTGTAACTGACAGCGAATGAAAGAAAGCAGACAAATGGAAATACTACTGTGAATTTCCAATATTCCTATTCATTAGAGACCATCACTATTGCCCAAGTTTCCCACACACTGTGTTGGTTTTGATGCCCCAGTCTCACAGGCTGCAGTGTGTTACTTCCACTGAACTCGAATTGTCTCACTAGACCCAAGAGGAAGAGCCACACATCTAAATTCTTTGTAAGTGTCCGAAAATTGATGGCCATTTTAAAATCACTCATTATCAGAAAACGCTAGTGAACCAACTCGTTATTCTGAAAATATAAAAGAAAACTATTCTTTAAAAACACACTCAAAAATATTTATGGGTAAAATAACATAATGTCTGGAATTTGCTCTAAAATGAAATGAGAAAAGACCTCTCAGGTAGGGACAAATATAAGGTTTTTTTTTTTTTTTTTCATGAGAATCGTTTTAATAGTAGAGTCATGATAGTTGGAGGCTGATTATACTATTTTGTCTTCTCATTAAAAATATTTACTTAAGAAACATTGCGCTAGCTCCCTAGTGACACTAAATACAGTGAAACCTCCTAGATAAATTCCACAGCGTACCCTATGACTTGGCCTTTACCCAGTAACTCAGTACTACCCGGCACATGTCTACTTGTCACCTACATTTATCCTGCACAAAACTGCACAGGATATGGTTCCCACAGAGGGCTGTGATTTCCCATAGTATTTGCAAGTCTCCATTTTTTTTCCCCAGAATGCCATGCTCCATTCTTCTGGGAAAATTTATTCCATCAGTCATATTTACGAACTGCACCCTGTACGCCTCAGGCTCCCTACTGCGTCCCACTCAATGATGTCCACCATGTGCCATTCCCAGTGGACCCTACAGCCCCGCCTCATCTATTTTCTGCCCTGTAAGGTCACCTTGCTTGGAATGCAGCAGAGACTCCCAGTGAGGGCTTCTCCAGAGGCAGGCAGCCCCAGAAATCTGGAGAGTAAAGAGACTGTGTTTACATGCATGCTCTCTTCCTGCCTGCTTAGCCAGGATGGGAGTTTCCTCTTAGCTGATATGACTCCGACTGGATGGCACTTTCTGAGTGGTTCCCTTTCTGTTATAGGTGACCACTTCCTTGTCTCTGTGTCAACAGCTCAGGAATTGCTGTTTCTCATAAACCTAGCACACTATGAGTAAAGAGTTCCTCTATTAAAGTCTCCTCTAATTACTGTTCATATCTCTCCTGTTTAGATATTAATTATACAGTTGTTGACAAGACCACCAAAACCAAAAGAAGATTAGACAAAGAACTTGACCCAGATACAGACCAAGAAGTCAGAGAAAATAAGCTGATAAACAAAGCCTGTGCAATGGCCCTTGGGTGGAAAAGAAGCAAAGGGTGATCAAAGCTATGCTTGACAGTGAGCTATTCGAGCAAGAAAGCAAAGATGCAAGTGGGAAAGGCTGAAGAACCAGAGAGAACTTTGGTTAAGACTAAATAAGTTTTGATCCTAAGAGCAAGCAAATGGGAAGTGTCTGATTTCTCCTTGGCTTCCAGTCCTAAGGGATCATTTGTCCTTGAGACAATTCCTGACAGCCTTCTGCCACCCAGTCAGAAGTAGGGAGCTCTGGTAGATGGTAACCACTCAAGCAATGTTTGTTGGAATAAATGAATGAATAGAGCACACAGGAACACTTTTGGGGCTTTTCCATTATATATTAGCATGGCTTTGTCACTTCAATAGCTCTTCCTTATACAAATCATTTCTGAACTTTATCCTGTTGACTCTCTGCTGCCTTCCCAGCTATAAGCATAAAGAGCAAGAGCAGTATATGAGCTCAACCCTGAAAGGAAGTCAAGGCCAGTCTTCCACATCACAACAGCCACTCCATCCCAGGGATGCTAAATTTAACAAGGAACATCACCAATTCAAGTGACAGAGATTCCTGCCACAATCATCTTGGTTACTCTGCTGACCTACTAATTTGAGGTGAATGGGGAAGGGTCATTTGTAATTGATCAAAAGAGTAAAATGAGAGCTATTTGGGTTGCTTTAGAATACAATCTTCTTGCTTTTATGCATAAAGTGTAACACAAAGCAAGTACCAACGAAAGATTACAAATATGCTTTGTAATGATTTGCTTTACTGATAGTGTAACCTGACTTATACAAAAAAATTTTTTTAATTAGCTCCCTCCTCATTGAAAAATAAGTGGGAATGAGTGGCTAAAACCTGCTTGAAAATATTGTCATTATAAATTTATTTTTAATACAACAAAATAAATTTGAAATACATAGTATTCCCAATATCAGTAACTAAATACTCAATAAGGTCACGATAATGCTTCTATATATGGGTATTTTATGGCAATGGATATGTCCATCTCCTCATAAGGAAGAATGATGAAATTGAATGCAAATAACCAGTTTCATTTTTACCTAGTTATGCATTCAAGATCTCAGTAAACCAAAAAGTATCACATATCTATGGCACAATGCTTGCTTAAAAAATCAGCATGAAAACTTTTTATTTCGGTAGAAAATGAATTGAAAAAATTTTCAAATGCTACTCATTTATTTTTTAACCTCAAACAAATACATCAGTTTTCAGAGTGACAGGGTGACTTTGCAAGGCGCTTTTCCCGAGCAATTCTATCCTATATAAAGTTTTAAATTGATAACGCAGGAGAGAAAGTCATACCAAAATCTGGTGGAGTAAACTCTAACTGTGACCTAAATACATTTTTTTTTCAGTAAAATAGTAACACTGCTCACCAGAGAGGCCATCGTGAATCCGATGACTTCAATATAGCCGTCATCGTGACGCTGCGGCTCAAAGTCGTGGTGATCTCCTGGGTTTCCCCACGGCATTGTGCCAGCACAATATCTGCAAGGCAAGGTTAAAAACACAATGAAATAGACTCTGTTCTCCTCAGGATGATCACTAGAAATCAGGTGATAGTTAAGTAAATTCATATCTGTAGCAAAACCTCACCCTGTATCTCATAATTATGTAGTTTAAATAATTTCCGGTATCAGTTTAAAAGTAAATTTAAAGAAAAACAATTGATAGACCCAGTGTTTACTAATACAAGAAGCATCTTCTGCTCTTGATACATGCCTTTCAACAGAAGGGAAAATGAACTTTCCCTTTCCAAAATATCAACCTGTGAAAATGGGAAAAGCACCCCGTAGTACCCAAATTCTCCCTAATTCATTATTTGCCAGCATTTCTCACTGTAGAATTCATTGATGTCTGTCTTCTACGATATAGTGTAAATTGTTCTTAGATGGTTTCAGAATTTAGTCTGGAAGGAAGACATTCATGCAGGTAAAAAAGAGACAACCCAGGTGGCCAACACTGACCACCATACAAACAACTGAGAAGTATCCATGGGAGAGGAGAAGGGAAGAAGAAAGAAATGGAGAAGGCATGAAGATATGAAATGATAAAAGGAAGGGGAAATGAAATCAGAAAAGCAGAGGGAGGAGAATACAGAAGTAAAGAAGGAGAAATACGAAAAATAAAAAGAAGAGGAGACTAGAAATAGAAACAAATTAAAAACCCTAATTGGCAATGTTTTGTGTGAATCTAGGCCGTCCACTGAAACTAAACTGAAGATGCCTCTGGTATCATGGAATAACACTGACTAACTCTACTGAGCCATGTCAAGAACACTCGGGAGGGGGGCTGGGGATTTAGCTCAGAGGCACAGCGCCTGCCTGGCAAGCACAAGGTCATGAGTTCGATTCCCGGTACTAGAAGAAAACCAAAAAAAAAAGAACACTTGGGAGGCTGTGACATGTTTTCCAATACATAAATTTACATAGGACCCTCATTTCAATCAAAGCCAGTGTAAGTAGACTTTAATTGTATATTTTCTGCCTACACTGTTTAGTGCAAGTAACAAGGATGATAGGACCATTCCTTCCAAAAGCTTGACTTCTGTTTCTAGAATCTAATTTTATGCCACCAAGTTAACATTATTATTTGAGACTTAGAAAACATTCCTGAAGAACATAATAATATAAAGAGAGCTGACACGCTGGCTACAAAATGCTACTCTAATTGATGCTGTTTTTTTCAAAGCAATCATCCAGCAATGAGATCCAAAGGTCAGGATGGTTCCCCAACAGCTTTGGGAGAACTGCTAGCAGGCATTTATTTATCCACATCTATCATTCTTAGAGGCAGAGGAGTGAGGTAAAGAAAGGCAGTAACTGAAAATTAAATGAAGATGTTCCTATCGAGAGAAGTGAGTGGATTTCTTAAGGCTGGGTGAGTTCAGACCTTGAACTCCATATCACACACGCAACTACCTCCCATAGCAAGCACATAATAAACCAAAGAGGACAATAAGTCTTCAGAGCTGGAAACCTCTACCAGCTCATGAAGAGAACTGATTTTTCACTGGTTATACCTGAAATGTTTCCATTTGGAAAGCAGATAGGCTCAAGTCAGAGTTCACATCAAAGCACAGAAACAATACGAACAGAGCTTACCTGGGTATATTTAAAAATACTATACACTGGAACTTCAGTTCCTGAATCTTTGGGGTGAGATCTGTTCCATCACACTGCAACAGTGAGAGCAGAAAGGCGAGAGTTTGGAAGCAGTCACAAGTCTATAACAGGGACCATGGACAGCGGGCTGATAGAATGCGCTGCGTTCTGCTACCCTGCGCTGCTTCGCTCTGCTTGGTTGATGTCCGTTAACAGGACTGCAAGCACGATGCTGATACCTGGCCTAGACCCAGCTCTCGGTGCCTTAACCCAAACAGTTTTTGCTTTCTTCCGGCAATCAAGGAAATACTGTCATGCTTAACCTTACATTATTATTAGATATTTAGGTGTATCATATGAACACTAAAACATGCTTAAAAAGAATGAAACTTCGGCAGCATTCACCACTACAACCATCTAACTCAAACAAGTCATGAATTTATGTTCTTTGCTTTTGGGAAATACTTTTTATTTTGAAAACATTAATCAGAGTGTTTTAAACACTATTTAAACAATGTGTATACAGCAAGTTTTAGAAAAGGTATTTATTAGAAAACAGTATCGTAATAGAGCATTTTATTCTTGCCATGGCATGAGGTTATTGCTCTACGTATAAATAGTTAATAACGTCACATAAATGTAAATAAAATGTGCTGATAAGTATAGACCAAGAAAACACAAGACAACAGAAGTGATGTGTTCTTACAAATTCAGTCTTTTACAGCCTTGGATTGGACTTCTGAGATGAAACTTTTGCTGGAGTTTGTACATGACCCTGGTTTCAAGGGCCCCCACCAGTATGGCCTCAGTACCTTTGCTTGCAGCTCTCTGGACCAGGAATTGCATTCTCGGCACGGACATCCTCTGACTCATCATAGAAAAGCTTTCCACTCCCTTTCTCCTTTATCATTGGCCCCAAATATCAAAAGAGGAAAACTCTAGCCAGGAGTGCAGTCCTCTCGCTCTCAAAGGTACAAAGCCTGCTATGCTGTCTGCTTCCTCACACCTTTGTCCCAGAAGTCCCTTGTTACCTTGTTTTTGGAAAAGGGAGTAAAACATTCTCCCCACACCTACAAACTTCTAAAGATTTCTTTAGAGTTTCAAACAAAATCATACGTGACTTTGCACTAGTCAAGCTTATTTCTAGACACCCACATTCTTTTCCCGGCCACCTATTTTTCATGAGTACTCTCAAAAAAATTGTTTCGAGGCAATCATGCAGTCCTAAATAAAATATTTTCCAATATAACTTAGGAATCAGATTCTAGATAGTGACTGAAAGTGTTTTTAGATACGCTCAACTACTAAGCAAACATAAAATGTGCCAATGTATTTAATGACTTCAGATGAGTTCGTGGATGATAATGCCAATGAAGAAAACATTTAGACATTTTAAATTAGTAAAGTGGAGGGTTGGAAGCAACTAAATTTTAAAAAAAAATAGAATGTGATGCAATAATTACCAGCAATGCTGCTGCATTACAGAAAAATGCTATAATAAAAGTTACTGTATTTAGAATAGAATTCATTTCTTAAACTTTCTAGTCTTTCCTCCTGGGAAACAAGTCAGTGGTTCTTGGAGTTCACCAAATAATATAAAGATGTGCACCTCACAATATGTAGGATTTTATCAAAGATTTTTAAACCCAAATACTGCATTAAACTGCAATATTCTTTAGGATATTCTTGTCAACGTTTCTCCCTTCAAGCACATGCAAAGAAAAACATTCACATGCAAAATACATTCCCGTCTACAAGTTCACTATTAGTAAATCAAATAATAACAAGAAAAATGCAGAGAGTAAAGCAAATAGTACTATATGCAGGATTCTTAAATTGTTTTGTGCTTTCTTGGTCTAATATACACATTTTACATTCAAGTGATACAATAATTGCAAGCGATGTTGAACTATTTCTTCAGTATTAAAACTAGTCTTTCTATGTAATTTTATACCCAGCAAAGGCAGAGGCAACACACGGCAAGTATTCATGAATATTGGTTGAATGAACCACACTAAATGTCTTCTAAACTATATGCAGTCCAGGGATTAACCTCTATAAAAACTGGTCCCTGAGAGCTTATTTTTGTGATATTCATATTTACACGCAAACAAAATGAATTGATTATGTCCAATACTTACAACAACTTTAACATGTTTGGATAGATCTCTAGAACTTCTCTGTAGGAAATCAGAAAAAGCTGCCTATACCACAGGAAATAAGAAAAAAAGATATTCCAAATTACATGGTTTTATCAACTCTTTGCTTCCATACTACAGCTAGTTTCAGGTTATGCAAAAATATGTAATCCAGTGCTCCTTTTTCTCAGGAAAAAACGAAGGTAGGGCAATGGCTATCAAAACGGAAATCTTTGTTTTCAAAGCACAATAGATAATAAAATTTAAGATCACAGAAAAAGCATGAGGATGTGGATAACCCCAAGGGTCAATTTATTCTGACTCTCCTCCCTTGCTACCCTTGCACCCATTAGATGCTGAAATAATCCTTAACTTGCCACTAGAACTGTCCGCTTTACATCCTTTTATTTTCTCCCTCCAGCCAATGGTATCAATTTAAACCGTGCTTTTAACCAATACTTAATGCCTTTCCCCCCATCTCTACCTATAGGGATGTCTCTAAGGAAGAAAAGAAGGAGGTCCCTCTCATCCATACATACTTCCATGAAAACCTTCCCACGTTCTGCCACTTTCCCGTCGGAATGTCCGTGTGACAGGACATGCCCTAGGGAGAACTACATTTTCTTTCTTTGGTACTGGGAATCAAACTCAGGACCTTGCACTTGCCAGGCAGGCACTTGTGCCGCTGAGCTATAACCCCAGCGAGAACTACACTCTAATCTAAGACTCTCCACACTTTTTTCAGTCTACCCAAAGTCACCCTCCCTATACTGGCTTTCATGTTTGTTTTTTAAAACATTTTTTGAATATTATCCACTCTTGTAAAACATGGAATGTGGGCTTTAAAAATTCAAAGATGCTAAGCGTCATCACCCCAACTACTAATTTAAAAAACACACCCTTACTTTCATTCTTAAATGAAGACATTAAACAGTATATAAACATAAATATAAATGCGTGATGTATATGTTACTGTCTTTAAACATACAGTGTCCATTACTCAATGAGTCAGCATTAAATAATATATAATAATTATAAAACAAAAGATGTATACTTACCCCGGCATAGAACATTTTATTTCGAAAACGACTATTGAATTTCTCTGGATTTGCTTCTGTGAAAAAGAAGAGGAAGTCTTGTTCTAGAGAGCTCTTTAAAGATCAGCACATTGCATCCCCACCCAACTACCCTGTAGATCTAGCACACCCCATGGTTCTGTTATCATCTTTCCTTACTCCAGGTCGGTTGCTACTGGTACAGCTGTCCAGCGCTACAATAATTCACTTCTAAATTGGCAGCACTGAATGTAACTGGGAGCTTGTCAGAAATAAACCCACTAAGCCCCACCTAGATCCACTGAATGTCAGAGTTTGTGTGGGCATCTAGGAAAGGCAGTGTCATGAGCTCTCCAGGTCATTCTTATTCAAGGTGAGACTTACTGAAATTTAAGCCACTTTGCACTGTTTTTTAAAACAGAGATAGGAGGTGGAGATGTATTATTTTCCTATGACCCTGAGGCATGCAGCTCCAAATGTAACTGGATACAGGAAATTTGGACAAAATTAAGGAAGAATTTGCTTTAACATTTTGCAAAAACTCAGAGCTACCATCTGCTCTCTTGGTTGTGACATGCCTTGGAAGAAATAATTTATTTCAGTGGAAAACACACACACACACACACACACACACACACACACACACACAGATGGCCTGCCAAACGGACTTGGCATATTACAGGAAAGGCTGTGGCTAAAAAATGATTTGATTTTAAATTTGCTCCTATTTATTATGTAAAGACCCAAAAAGATGAAACAAGAATCTATATCAGAGAGTTTTCACATGAATTAAAGGAATTATACAAACCCTAAATGAAGTGTTTCCTCACATTTCTTTCTAATAAAATTCCACAATTTTCCAAAAGAACTTCCTGTCTAAATTTAGCCTTCTGCTGTTTTATCCAGTATAGTAAATCCCTTCTTAAACTAAGTCTTCCCCCAGTCATTTCTGTACACAGTTGTCTACCCCACTGAAACTCAACAAGTCCACACCCTGACCATCAATGACAATCCCCAAAAGCTATCTAAAAGAAGAAGAGTAGCAAATAATTCAAAAACATGGCCAAGCAAAACATACAGGACCTCAGAAAGTAACCCTGGATCAATGGTTACTAGATTATTTTAACGACGATTGGAGCATAATAATAGCACATGACGTAGAAATTGGGTTTTCAAAAAAAAGTGCAAACTAAACATTAGAGAAGGGAGAATTGGAAAGATTGGCTTTTGAGAGCTATCTTTGTCTGTAAATAGTTTTTGTATTTCAAAGCTTTCCTAAACTCCATACTACCATCAGAAGTACTCTAACCCTAGAAACAAAATGAAACAAAAGGTCGCTGTATACGGTACAGTAAACAAAAGGAAGGATGGCATTAACTGCTCCTGCCTGTCTTGGCCCTCCTCCCGTTCTTGGCCCCAGAGCCGAACATTTTTACAGTCTAGGATTCCATCCGGGTGAACGCGGGTGCTAAACGATATGCTGTTTTCGACGTTTTTAGAGTCAGATTTGGCCAGGCTCCGTTTTCATTTTCAGTTCCAGTAACTTTCTTGCTTTAGGAGGCCAGAAGTAAAATGAAAATCTTTTTTGCTATGCAATTTATCTCAAGTATATGGGCTGTAATTAAAAAAAAAAAAAAAAAAAAAAAATCGGGTCCAGCGATGAGGCAAGTTTTTGAGCAATGGCAAATGGCAGCAAAAATCTGGCCTGGAACTTTTTCAGAGCATTGATGCCCACAGCTATTAACTGAATCATAAATCAACTATTAACATTGGCATATTTTCTAATGTATGGTTTGGGAAATATTCACATCACTATGAAGTTTTCCTATAAGACTTGAAAAATTGAAAACTCTTTTTAAGGAATAGCTTTTTCTATCAAAAGAGAGTACTTCCTCTAAGATCTCTAAAAAGTTAAATTTAAGAAACAAACTGTGTTTTTGGTGATTTCATTCATGCATTTGACAAAAACAGTCACCTCCGATGTAATGTAGTGAATAAATTTCATTGAGATTAATAAACTTTTAAAAACAGATCTATTGAAACATCTACCATTCAAAGAGATGTCAGAAAGACATAAAAGAGGTAGGGGACTTGTGCATATGCCTTGGCCTAGACGGAAAGGTTGTGAGGGAAACCCTATTCGTTTCAGGATGAGAAACCTATCTATTATATTCGATGAATCCTAGAGTAAGCTTGCCTTGGCAATTGGATCTTTTGCCTATTTTTACATCTACCTTATTCCAAGAAAAATATCCCAATAAGGAAGAAATGTCAGCTGAAGCGAAGGGAGATGTCACTGCTCAGTGACAGAGCTTGCCCACTTCATGCAGAGGCCAGGCCATCAGAAAGTAAAGGGCCTCCTGCACAAACAATGACCGGCCACTCCGCATTGGCTGTGCAGAGGAAGGCATTGTTTGGTTGGTTGTGCCTCTGTGTGTATAAGAGTTGATGTGTTTTTAAGGAGGACCAAGAGTGTGGACCTCAACTACAATGGAAAAGGGAGTAAGGACAAAGAATTGGGAAAGAGTCAGTGAAAGCTTAAGGGCTCCCACTCCTCCAGCAAGTGTGTCTGTTAGCTGGTATGAGGTAAGCATGAAAAGCTACTCTCAAAAAAGGCTAACAATGCTCAGCATATCAACACACCTCATGACTTGGCAGTGGAAGAAGCCAAGATTTATTGTTCTTATTCCTAAGTTGCCCATCCTCCTCATCCACAGAAAGAGTGTGAATGGCAGGATGCACACACTCGCTGTGTTTGTGTATGCCACCATTCTGCTGACGGTCTGACTGCAGAATAACAGTTTCCAATTCCTCCTATAACAAATTGCGATAAACTTAACTACTTAAAACAACACGCATTCATCTTCTTAAAGTCCCCTAGGGCAACATTCTCCACCGGCCTCTCCTGGAACCTATGCTCAGGGTCTTACGAGGCCCAAATCATGGTACCATACTGCAGGACCTTATGAAAGTCTCCGGTAAAGATTCACTTCCCAGCTGGTCCAGGTGGTCGGCAGACTCCATGTCCTTGTGGTTGCAGAAGTGAAGTTCTCTTTCCTTGCTGGCTGCGGGGTAGGGCTCCTCATTGGTTTGAGAGGCCATCTGCATTCCCCTATCACCCAGCAACTGCATGTTAACTCCCAGCACTCTGACTCTGCCTTCTACTTCTTTCAAAGGGCTCAGGTTATTTCCTTGGGCCTATCCAGATAGTCCAGGATTCCCTTCCTATCTTAAAAGCAGCGGATATGTTCGCTTTCATTACATCTACACAGTCCTTCTACTACATCAGGTAAATAACCACAGGCATAATGAGAGATGATCATCATTACAGCCAAAATTCTACCTGCCACTGTCTATCCCCTGGTCTTCATGACTCATGTCACTCCTATATGAAAATGTATTTACTCCATCCAAGGTCCCCAAAGGTCTCTTCTCATTACAACATCAACTCGAAATCCAAAAATCTCATCTAAATCTCATTAGCTGAAACTTCATAAATCTTATTATCTAAATCATCTAAATGAGTTGGCTCTGGATGTAATCCACTTATGATGAGAATGGAACTCTCAGTATAATCCATTCCACTGATTAAATATATTAACCCCAGGCTTATGTACAGAACAATACGTGTCAAAAGAATGGAGAGCCTAGCCAGACATGGTGGTGCACATCCGTAACCTCAGCATTCTGGGAAGTTGAGGGAGGAGGATTGCGAGTGCAACCCAAGCTCGGCAATGTAGTGAGACCATATCTCGAAATAAAAAATGGAAAGGGGCCTGGGGATATGGTTCACTGTGAAAGCCCTGGGTTCAATCTCCTATACTGAAGAGAAAAAAAAATTATGGAATCCTAAAACCATGCTTTTGTCTGTGATTTCTTACGGATTTAGCTTTATGTCACTTTTAAATATTTATTTCAGCCCAGCCATCATCCTGTAGGTCTTAGGAGGATTTGATAAAAATGACTTATTCATTTCCTCTTCCTGTCAGACTAAGTTCTTATTCCCTTTCCCCCTTGATTGGCCCTTAATGGCCCTACAGATCGTTTTCACTGAGCTAATCTTATAGCTTTCCTAACAAACATGTCTTCAAAAAAAGAAGAAGCGCAAGATGTCTGAGTCACAGTCATATAGTTTCTGCGTAAGCTGCCAAAAGCATACTCAGTGACTGTGAGTGTTGCAAGGGGCCTCAAAGACTGCTCAGCTGTGAACACAATTTCCCTTATGTTTCTGTACCAAGCCTGCACACAAAAACCCCATCCCTCTGTCCCTTACAGTTATCCCCCTTGGAAAGAATACAGCTACGGAATCCGAAGGATCCTAAGCATGTTACTCTCTTGCCATAGGGCTCCACCCACCATCAAGTTCTTTAAGATCCCAAATAATACAACATCAAGAAAAAATGCTCATGAAACATGTACAAGTTTACCTCCTCAGAGATTTAGTATTTCATTAATTAACATACATTTATTATAAGTTAAAGTCAACATCTGGATATCCTCAACATATGAGCATGTGAAGCCTACTGGTCAAAATTTATGGCTGAAATCTCTCAGGTTAAAAAAAAACAAAACACTGTTCCCTGGGATAACACAAATGGAGCCAGAAAACATAGCTATGCAGAGCCATGTCAAAAGCATTACACATATTTTTCTAAACCCAGTATATGGAACAAAAGGTAAGAAATCCTATGTGTTTTCCTTTTTAAGTCAGAAAACCATATTACATCAAAATGAAGAAATAGTTGAAAAGTCAGCATGTTTATTTGTATCTCTGAAAACACACAATGTGAATTATTAATGATAACATAAAAGAGCCTTTGTAATCTTAGGTACTATTACCTAAAGTGCATAAGGTTCCTTTAAAACACATAAGGGCTGGTTAAAAACTGCTGACATGTTCAACTAATTGTAGCCCAGGCTGCCTTTGATGAGATACTACCAGGGAAAACTAGCTCACAGCTCAAGGTCAGTGAAAAAATGACAGTGAACCCAGACATACACGCAACACAACACCATACACTCCCAAGTTCTCAGAATTGGATTATTGCCCATGTTACATATACACACATATTCATCATCTATACACTGACAAGCAAGGCCCTGTAACTCACAGCTCACACTGGAGTATTTACACTTTTAACTGTTAAAAATATGCAAGTACATACACATAAATTCAGCATGCACAGCTTTGTCATATACCTCCTTTACCTGAGGCATATTAGGGAGACATATGCAAATCCAAATGCAATGCTATGTATATAAAAATCAATATAAAATTTGAACCTCATATATTTCCCATATCTTCCATATTCCATCCACTGGCTACTTATTCCATTTAAAGACTTCAGCTATGCCTATGCATCACTTTCAACTCAAATTGCATATATTAAACCATCTTTCCTTATTTCCAACATCATCTCCTATTTAGGACAATTTTTTCCCCAACATTATCACCATTTTCCAAAACTGCAGAAAAATCTTTCATCACATACTGATCGCTCATCTGACCCATCCATTGACAACCACATTCCCTCTGTACTTCCCTGTGAGAAATTTTCCTACCCACTTACTTCTTGTCAATATCAAGCTCCTCCCTTTATCTCCCTGCCGCATTACCCCCTACACTGGAAATTTCCCCCATATCCTTTTACTGCCACCAGTCCTGCTGCAGTCCCATTATTTACTGTCTATGCAGCTAGTCTTGCCATCACAGTTCATTATTTACCTTTGATCAAGGGTCTACTCCCCAATTAAACTTCTGCGATTGCATCATTTACTGACCCAGCCCCTGGACTGGGAACTGGGAATGGAAAAATAACTAAGACATGATCTTCAGCCTTTACAGACTTTACAATGAGGGAGAAGGTATGACGGTGAAAAGTAAAACGTCCTTGTATAGATGCTAGGGGAAATGGTTACATAAGATCCAGTGGTGAAACGATCAGAAAAGTGTTCCAGAAGGAGGCACACTGAACTCTGGCATGATGAGTAGGTGATGTGTAGCAGTCAGGGTGAAAAGAAGGTTGACAAGAACATAGACGGTGAGATTTCCTCAAAGGCAACCTGCTGCAATTTCAGAGTCCAGACAGGAGACTTGTTGTACCTCTGTCCCAGTGACTGCAGTGATGAAATTTAGCTAACCACTGAGAGTAACTTTAACTAAATCTGTCAGTTTTCTAAGATGTGAATCACGAAACATTTCCAATCCTTTGAGACGTGCTGATCTGCATGTCTCTGTATATTCAGTGAAAATAGTAAATCCTAAATCAAATTTAAACACTACTGCCTCCTCTGGAGCCAAAATTGTATTTCCTTGACCTTGCAGCATAAGGTTCAGAGGCTCTGAGTAATAATTTCAATGAGGGGGTAAAATGGAAGCATTCGATCTCAGACTTGCAAGTTTGATGTGTTTAATATCCACGTCAAAAAAGTGACAATCTCATTCACAGCACTGGCAAAGTGAGACCTCATGTTGTCACTGATACCTGTAATCACTATTACAGGACTAAACGTTAATAGATTGGAATATTTTCTATATACTCAATTGTAATACTTTCAATATGCTCCCATTAGCACTGTGATAATGTAAAAGTACTGAAAGTACTGGGGCACTATTCCACGTGACAATTAAATAACCAATCCTATTACATCTCCAAATTCTGTTCCAAATTACTGCACTATCTCATAAGAATCAACAATTCAGCCACGGATGTCTCACCATTTTGAGAAAAAATACGCATTTCTGTTTCCAACCAAGAGGAATATTCTTCCTTTCTCATCAAAGATAAAAGAAACCCAAACTGTCAAGTATTTGTCTTCTTCACTTACAATGTCAAGCTTATTGTTGTGATTTTCTTTACCTCCTGCTTGATTTTCTACTGGTAATTCTAAAAGCATTTGTACAATAATGACACTATTATGCTCTCTGCAAATAAAAGCCATTCAATTGACTGTTCTATAAAATATACAATATAGGTTGTTATGTGAGGAGCTGTCCATGTGATGGGTATTTTCCCATCTATGCCAAAAATTCCATCTATAGTTAGTTTTTCTATAGTTAGTTTTTCCTCTTAAATTTTTCCTTCTATAGTTAGTTTTTCTCTTAAATTTTTCCTTCCTAAGATTTGTATTTGTTATCCATTACTTTTAGGCAGATTGGCATAGCTTCAAATATTGCCTTTTCTTGACTAATACTTAACTCTATCCAAGCTCATATATTCACAACGGCTCTCAAGAGACTAAGTCACCCTCTCGATACCTGATAGCAAATTATACAGGTTTTAAGAAGCCTCAAATTGCAAGTGATTGTCTGCGAGAAAGTTTGAAGTCTCAACTATGAGCGGTCTTGGTTTCACAACAATCACTATCTACCAACAAAATTAAGTCTGCCCCACCCCTACTGAAAATGTGGTCTTACTTATCTTTGTTTTTCTTCTTTAACTTAGCTTAAGATTTCTTGGACGACCAAAGAAAAACAAAGGGGAAATCTAAATGAACACGAATCAGTTTAAAAAATAGCTTGATTAATATTTTTCATACAGAGTAATTATTTTATTTAATCTATAAAGAATAGATTAATAGATACTGCAATGTGTACGGTCCAGTGGCATCAACAAAATTTAGCTCCAGTAAATATGGATATTTGTTTTTCATGAGCTCTAGCTCACCTTCACGAATATTTTATCTATCACTGCCAAACCAACAAAATTCTCCCTTATCAGCCGTTCATGGCTGGTTTTCCTCAAAGCCTTTGGCTTTCACACAGAAAAAGATGTTTTCAATTCTATTTCACATCACATTAAAATACACACTAACATTCAGCAATAAACTATTCAGAGGTTAGTACTTGACATACTTAAATCAATTATTTTATAATCACATTTATATATATATATATATATAAACATACACAACAATAGTTTATATTCTACTCTAAAACTAACTGGTATCACAGTTTAAAGGAAAACATACATAAATAAACACACATAACAATAGTTGCATATTCTACTTTAAAATTAAGTAGTATTATAACTTAAAGGAAAAGGAGAAAGACCACTTTCCCCAGAATTCTCTTCCAAGCCTGGTCCACCTCGGTGTATCTCCTCGCTTCCCTCTCACTGTGATGATAGAAATTTCACCATATGACAAGGAAGTGTGTCATCAGGGTAACTTTTGGAATAATTGTTGGATGAGCTCATTGTGGACCACTTACTCATTCAGGCTGATTTTCATGCCAAGATGTCTACTTTGGAAAACTCATGTGGTAGTGATAATTGTGCTACTGTTCCAATTGTTAAGGAACCTGGGGATTGTACTAAGAAGCTTAGAAGATTTAGAGTCTCGTAAAAAGTATTGGGAGAAGGGGGCTAGGGAAAGGGGTAAGAAAAAAAAAGGGAATCTCTCATTTACTTCCAAAATTAAATATAAGAAGAACAACAGGTCATAAACCTTGGCTCTAATGTAGGTCCCTTTGCATATGATCTCTAAGATTTGCCATGACAGGTATGTTGGGCAGGGATGGGGCTGCTGGTTTAGGGTATTTGTGGGTCTTTTACTAGCCATCCATTCTGTGGTTTTCCCACTAATCAGAGAGGAAGACCAGCTATGGTCGTGCTTGGCAGAGATCTGGACCTCCAAAGAAACTGTCGCTCAGAAGGCCAAAGTCTACCAGGATTGCTGAATTCAGGAAGGTCCTTCACACAGTTGTAGTTAGCTGTATTTTGTATTCTCACACTCAGAATCCTATAGTTGCACCGGGGACAGCCAGTACCTAGGAGCAGCATCAGAATTTTTTCTACCTTATTACCACACTCTGACACTTTAGCTTTTAGATATTAGGATTCTTTATCTCAAATTCCATAGTTTAAATGGATTGGGGTTCTTCTTAATCTGTGCAAAAAGAAAAAGATACCTCCTCATTTATGACTGTCTTTGCTCAAGTTTCTTAGCACCCTACATCCTAGCACTACTTTGATTATATATAGACACATTCACAAGGAAGTTTGCACTGATATAGCTATAGGTAACAGGCATAAACAGAAGTATGTAGTATAGTTCTAATAACAGGAAGAGAGTGTAAGAGAAAGAGAGATTGAGGTGAATCAAGAAACAGAGATTGATTGAGGCTACCAAGCAAAAGCCAAAATCCTAAATTTTCTCAGTTCTGAAATGTATAGGAAAATATTTTACAATTTATCCTTATTTCATCTTACTTCTCTTTCTAAATTTGTTTTGCTTCCTTCAGTCCTGTCCCTATCTCTTGCAGCACCTCAAATTACCACTCGGCTTCATTCACACCTCTGACTCCTCTGGTGACATTCCTAGTACCTATCTGATTCAATCGTCATCATTCTCTTTTCTTTCAACTTAAACTTTCCATAGCCCCTCTACCCTCCTAACAAGACTATGTCTGCTTTTGCTACCATGTATCAGTGGCTCTGGCTATGAAATACTGAATTTTAACCACCGGTGGCTTGTGAAGCTATGAGTATCCTAATGATTCTAGAGAATGAGGCTCTTTATCTTAGTAGTTCACTCACTTCAAAAATTTCCAGTCAAACTGGAAGAGGAACCATCCTGAGACCTGGAACGTACCTCTGCTCCTGTCCTTCACTATCTTGAGATCCCAAACAACTAGGTCTCAGTTCCCATCTGACCCAGCTCCCAAGGTCATGACAAAGGCCACATGGAACCAGACCGAGGCACACCACAAACACACAAGCGAAATGCAAACGAAAGGGAACATGCAAAACACCTGCTGGAAACTGCCTCCCCGGGAGATGGAAATGGGACGGTGTCCTCACCTCTGGATTCATGGAACTCCAGTGTGACATGAGCATCGAATCCGAGGCTGAAGTAATTATTGAAAACATTCAAAGGGAGCTGCAATGATAACAGAGGCAAAGGTAAAGCTACACAGATCAAGCTAGGAAGAGAAAAATAAAAGCTGATGCCAGCCGCCTATCTCTGAAGCAGTCTCTAAAAGAGGTTGGTCGTAGCTCAGAGCAGTGTATAAGCAGAAGGACAGGGTTCTTGAATTAAATCATCAGCAAAAGCTAAGACTGAGTAATTATTGCAAGAAGTACAAACAGTACAGGAAATAAGGTCTACATATAAATTAACAAATAAGAACCATTCTTGTATACGCTGTAATAATAGAAACTTATAGTGCTGAGGAGTGCATATTTGTAATAGTGATAACAAAAGATTCACTAAATGAATTTAGCAAATTCAATTGTAAGGATCATGTCTAATTGACCTGGTCAGTGGACATACTTTGCTCAAGACTTTACAGTTAGCACATGAATATTATAACCCAAACTAAACAATTTTTAATTCATTTACTTATCACCTATTTTTAAATGAAGTTTTTAACAAGATTCATAAAAGAAATAAGGCAGCGAGAACCATGGAGCTACTGATTATATAGATATATATGTGTATATATATGATAGATAGATATCCATCTATGTAGGAAGTAGTATTGAGATTCCTAGTTAGCAAACCTATATCTTTGATACTACCGTGAAATCTGCAAATAGCCACAGAGATACACACTGAAGCCTTAACTGTCTTTCTCGTTCTCAGTTGGATCTATGGCTGCTCCTGTCACAAGCTAGTAAAGCACAGAAGTAGACAGCCTCCAATCCCCACTAGTACTGCAAAGTGGACATGATTCTAAAGTTTCAGCTCTCTATCACAACAATCATAAAATTTCCTTCATAAGAAGGAAAAGGGTTATTTTCCCACTTCTTCTGCAACTCAGAGTAGAAGATAAACATCAAATAAAGAATGATAATGTTTCCAGACAATTATCAGATTTATGTCCCAAACTGACTGCAGCTCTCTCAGAAGCGGTTGAACCCTTGACATTTCAAAAGTAAGTCTATTACAGTGTTTCATAGGCCCTCAGTTAACAAGATTTTGCTTGACTAGAGGGAGAATGTTGTCTCATTAAAAGAAAAATGAAATAAGAACAACAGGAAGATTCATGCAGAAGGAAAGAAACTGGCTTGCCTTGATCTCTAGTAGAAGTCAGGCGGGCCCTGCATGGAAGCCCCTCTGTCCCAGCCTATAATGATTTAGAGGTTAAATCAGCCTTTTGAAAGGGCTTCACCCAGCCGGGGAGAAAGACAGAGAAACTAAACACATAGAACTATGCCAAAATCACGTCTGACTCTCCTGGCTTTATATTTGAAAATGTCCAGTTCCTGCATTAAAATACCAGTCCTTAGTAAAGACTGTGTGGTAAGCCTGCCAAAAGTACAGGCATGCTTTTCTCGTCTACCATTTATGTTCTTTTGGCTACAATTCTAACCCACGCTTCAGCACCCACTGATAGCTAAGGAAAACATCTGGTCACAATCTCCTAAATAATGTCCCAATTTAGGCTGTTTTCATATTATTCATATTTTCCAGGAAAATGTGCCTCACTTGCCTACACAACAGCCCCCCCAAAGTCCATTTCCCAAGCCCTTTAATTGTCTGAATTGATATTCCCTGGCTGCATCAAGAAGTATTCCATTTCTTAAGCTGTTGAGAAGAAAATTAAATAAGGATTTCTATTATAGGCCAAACCACTCCAAGAGTAAGCAAAGGACTTTAAATTTTCCCCAGGGTACTCTTTTTTTTCTACCTCAGTTGTTTTCTATCCAATTTCTACAAGTTCAACCAAACACATTAGCTAAAAGTAGCACACCCTTTATTGTTAAATAGTATTGTTCCATTAAGAATTGAAGTTCAGCCAAGCGATTGGGATACTCAGTGAGAACTAGTCATTTCAGGGTCACAATTTAGGCAAAAAAACAATGAAGACAAGGTAAAATCAAATGGCTTATCCAAGTAAGAAACCTGAACTTCTATCATAATTGGTCAGGAATAAATGGGCCTTGGTTTGGTCCAAAGTAACATGGAGTTCAATCTACCTTAAGGTTGGAACATACGCTTTTGAGGTATTAAGGACTAATACAGACCTTCACCTTAACCTTCACCTCCAGCCCTTTTTAAATTTTTTTAAAATGTTGACAGGGTTTTGCTAAGTTGCCCAGGCTGAACGGGGCTCAAACTTGCAATCTTCCTGCCTCACCCTCCATGAAATTTTGGCCACCATCCCTGATATGGTTCAGCATAGCAAAGATATTGCTTAATGTACAGATCCCCGGCCCTTATTTTTGCATTTACTTAATGAGAAGGTCCGGAGAGTGAGCTTCATATCTGCATTCTAGCAAGCACGTCTGGAGATTCTTATGCATACAAACATCTGAAAATATCACCATAGAAAAACAGTGGAAAGTAATATGAAGAAAACATCTGTCTACTCAGCAACCTACTAAATTTATCAGAAATTGAGGCCAAAATTTAGAATCAAAAGTTCATTTACAGTGTGACTCTTTGGTTTGGTTTGGTTTGGTTTGGTTTGGTTTGGTTTGGTTTGGTTTGGTTTGGCTTGGTTTGGTTTGGTTTGGTTTGGTTTGGTTTGGTTTGGTTTGGTTTGGAGTAGGGTGAAATCAAAGCTTAGTCACTAGAAGAAAACACTAAAGCAAAATATTTATTTAGACATCTTGGACTCTGAACCAGGTAATGAAACTGACTTAGGTAAGACCTTCTATGCTTAAATGATGTTTAATAGCAGGCTGGAAATCTCAGGGGGCATCTTTCTACTGAAGATCATATATCCCCAACTTTTGAGCCCACGTGTTCTGCATGTTCTCATAGGTTCTTTACAATTAACTTGAAAAATTAATAAAACAATGGATACATGCCTTTCTAGTGTGGAAGCTTGCTAGTGTGTAAGAGACAGCTCTTTGAGCGCTAGAGCTAAGAATGAATCTGAGTCTTTAAAAGTCTGTGGGGCAGGATCAGTAGGCAGTGGTATTATGTCACATCCTAGGGCTGGGGGCATAAACTCAAAGTTTTCCTGTTATCATCTGAGGAGGAAGCAGCGTGCTACTCTACAAGCAGACATGCATTTCCCGGGGCCCAGGAGGATGCTTCTGAGCTCTATTCTGCTGAAGAAAGACTTTTCTAACCTTACATACACCATCTTCCAGCTCTTCTGGAGGCAAGTCTGGGTTTCTCTCCACGTGAAGGTTCCAGCGATCGAGCTGTACAATTGTGCCGTCTTCTACTTGGCACAGGATCTTAGAAACAGGTTCATCAGTGTAGCCCTGGCAACAAAATCAGAAAGCACACCCAGTGCTGTCAGGAGTAGGAAGCAGTATGACCAATGGTAGAACAGCCCTTCTCTGATTAGTTCTACTCATTTTGTAATTAGAAAGGCTAGGAAGGTGAATTGCTTTCCTTGAGTCACTTAGAACTGAAGATAGCTTTCACATATACAAAACACTAGCTCTGGTTAGTTTGAGCTGAGGGATAATTCTTGCTAGCACCGGAGAACCGATAGCCACTGATGAGCACCGAGGCCCATGATGGATGGCTGCTTTAACTGGAGTTTAAAACTGGGACTCCTCAAACCTTTTACTGGAGCAATCTGAGTGATAAATAGAATAAATGTATATGGAAAAGGGAAAATCAAGCAAGATGGGATCTGGTCAGCAGCTTTCTGCTATTAACATTCCAGCTCACTCACTGTTCCTTGACCTTATCTTAGGATCCCATTCCTCCACGATCTGAGACAGGTCAGACTGAGGACCAGCCATGTTAGAGAGCTATTTACTCCTTGAAGGTCCACTACTGATAGCGTAATTATTAAGGATGGTCAGTTGTTGATTTGCATGTGAGAAATTAGCACCAATAATATCTTTGTTATTTCACTAATTATTCTGCCTACCTAGCACAAAACAAAACAAAAACCCATGAAAGGAACATTTTCCCAAAGGCCAGATTAATATCCCCTAGACATCTGGAGAAAAGTTTCATGAGTGAGATCCCAGCCCAGGTATTGTTGTAACCTGAGCAGCTAAAAAGGGGATAATTCTGTATATGTTAGTGTCTCAGACCCTCTTACTTAGTCCCATAAAACGAGTAAGTGAAATGGCTAGTTATAGGTTAAGTGCATCTCCCACACCTGCCCACGGTTGGCACCATGGTGGGAAAAGAAATCAGATACCTGAATAGCCAAAGCCATGATACTACTCATCAGAAAAACCCAATGTCTCAAAAGGAAAACGCTAATGCTCACAAAGAAAGAGTTGGAAATCTGAACCAGATGTATTATTCTGGCCAGAGCTAAAGGTCAGGGTGAATTCAAGTTTGTGAGATTATTTTACAAGAAGCCTTGGAACCAACCCATCCACTGTGTCCTTGAACTCCTAGGCCTATGCACTAACCACACGCTTTGCCTGTACAAGGCTTTCTCTTTGCCTCCCAATTCTTGCACGGAAAAAAACGACCCAATAAAATTAAAGTTCATGGACACTTCAATTCCCATTTCTAACTTATTCCTTAAAGAGCAGCTGCAGACTGTTTCCACGGGGCCGTTCATGAGCATATCCAACACCAGGACGCTGTTCGTTCCTGGATGGCAGGGCCAGCCTCTGGGAGAAGTTCTTACCCCTCCCCAGTTGAGAGTCCGAGCCAGGTCATTCCCCGTCCCCAGAGGAAGGACCCCCACAGGAGGCTGGGGGCTCAGCTGCAGTTCATCCAGGATGGAAAGAATCCAGCCCACCTGCCGACGTGTCAGGGACCAGAAGAGAGAAAAGAAAGAAAAGTAAGTTACAAAGAAGGCAACGTGACAGAAAGAGGGTGTAAAGAGATAAACAAAATGGTTCCATTTTTCTTTAAAGCATTTGTTTTAACCCTGTAGATAGGAGACAAAAAGGGCAACTCTTACAGGCACTTTCAAAATGGTAAGGTCCTTATTAAGAAAAGGACAATTCTGTGCACGCTTGGTCCTATATGCAAAACTAGATCTGTTCATCTGTGTGTTTAGTGATAAATGCACCTTAATGTTTAGGAGAATTTAAGAATTAAGGAGGTAATACAACAAGGCACAGGAGAGAATAAAGGACTTGGAAGTAGGCTGAATTTTAATCCTGTGTCATATAGGTTGCATAACCTTGATTAAATTATTTTAAACCACTGAGACTTAATTGCCTGATTTTCAAATGGGATAATAATACCTACTTCCAGGTTTGTACAGGTTAAAATAAAATATATATGAAATAAAGCCTGTTAACATGGTCAATGGCCCATAAGCACTAATTAAGGGGTTAGCCTCCATTGTATCATCTTGGAAATTAGTAGTATTTTTCTGAGTATGCCTATTCTTTAATGAAGCATTATAAGAACATAATTATGGTTGTATCCCATATCTATTATACACTTAAGCAGAAAACAGATACTTGCATAGTAAAATCAGATATCCCATTTAATTTTTTTCTATGATAAATAATACTTTGGGCATAGTCCTGTAACTATTTAGAAAAATTACTAAAAACCTAGAAACAGCATATTTTTACCATATCTTCCAAGTATAACATTTCACACACCAGCCTAAAAATTTTATAATTATAGGTTAACAAAAGAAATGCAAATAGAAGATTACCCTGAAAAAAGACAATGAAGAGAACATTGAAAAAAGGAAAGATATCCTCTGTTCCTGGATAGGCACAACCATTACTGTCACTGAGATCCCATCTTACTCCATGAAGAATGGTTATCATCAAAAACTCAACTAACAAATGCAGGCAAGATTGCAGGGGGAAAAGGAACCCTTCTACATTGCTTGTGGGAATGTGAGCAGCCATAAAAAACCATGAAAATCAATATGGAGATTTTTCAAAAACTAAAAATAAAAGTTCCTTTCAACCCAGCTATACCTCTTCTGAGTATCTTCCTGAAAGAATTAAAAATATCATATTACAGTGATAAATATCATATTACAGTGATAAATATTACAGTGATAAATATCATATTACAGTGTGCCTAAATTCCTGAAAGAATTAAAAATATCATATTACAGTGATACCTATGTTTAGAGCAGTACAGTTCACAACAGCTAAATCTTGGAAAGGTTGGATATGCCCATCAACTGACAGAGAAAATGTGGCATATATACACAAGGGAGTACCACTAAGCATAAAGGAGATTAATATTAGTCATGTGTAGGACAATGGATATACCTTGAAAATATAATGCTAAGTGAAATAAATCAGACACGGAAGATTAAATATCACCTGGTTTCTCTTATATGAGAAACCTGAAGTATAAATTATTTTTAACTTAATATAAAAGACAGACGATAAGAAACAGTAAATTAAAACCGTGGAGATGAAACGGGACCTGGGATGGAGGGCAATGGGAGGATGATTATTGTGAATAAAAAGAACAGAGAGGATGCTCACAAATGGGAAGACAGAGGAGTGGAGACAGTAAAAAGGATCCAAATCTGATGCAGATGTGTATCAGTTCTGTACATAACTGTGCTAGTAGAAAAACAGATCACTTTAAAAGCTACGATTTTAATTTCTACTGAACATTAGCCAATTTTGCCTCATGTTTATACAATATTCTGATATAAACTACATGTCTTTTCCTCTACTTTTCTCTGATAAATCAGCTCTAACATCCTCCTTGTTCCCTCAAATTCCAAGAAAAATTTTCATTTGTATTCATTTCACAGTTGTATGACAATCACGTTTTTAAAAATCCCACTTCAATAACACATTTAATGAAAGCTATTACATATAAAACACAAAACTAAGCAAATGAAATAGAGATAAATGAGTTAGAGTAAAAAAATGTAAAATGACTATTCTCAAAGAGTTTACAATAATAGAAACATGACAGTCTTGATTGCTTTCTAGGTATTATGCCTGAGTAAAGTGCTTTTAATGAATTATTAAACTTTAAAAGAACTACTAGATCACTGTAATTTTTCATTTCCACTTTATAGATAAGCACATTGAGACTTGAAAGGATAAGTGACCTCTTAACAGCATACTGTTTATCAGCAGAGCTGGCATTCAAAATCAGGTATGACCAACTCTTCACTGCAACAGTGTAGGAAGCCTTTCAGTAAATACCTAAACTCAATTCTGCACACGGCTTGATGAACCTGGAGGTGGTGACATGTGACTTTGCAATCTTTTAAGCTAGAGAAATCTCTTAGAAATTGCTGAATCAAAGTCAGTTAGCTTACAGATTTATTTATCCAGCTGCAGAGAAATCCTGCAATTTTCTCAACTCTAAGTGGCCGCGTCCAAGTAGTACCACTGCTCCTGACTTCCATCTACAATACTTCCTCCTCCTCAGTGACTCCCTCCCAGGATATACAGCTCACCCACCGACGAATGAAGTCTAAAGTTGTGTTCATCTTCTGATATGGCGCAAAATGAGGTACCCTAAAAACCAAGCTCTATAAAAATGTCAACAAGCCCGTTCATTTCACCCAAGCAGAGCAATTTTCTCCTCCAAAAAAGAAACTAAGATTTTGACTAAGGGCTTCTTTAGCTCTTCTTTTATATGTAACACTAGTAAAGCTTGCTGTTGAGGAAAAAGAAAACAATGCCAGATGCTACATTAGCTTTGACGGCTGTGCTAGACATTGCTCCTGTGCTGCTAGAAGAATAAGCTAAACACAAAGAAAGTGGAGCGCTTTAATAAACTACAAGAAGGGATTACAGGGCCTTAAAAGGATGTAAACATTCAGAAAGCCCAACAATCTGGGATCACAGACGGCAGACACAAACATGCATGAGTAGAACCAGACTCGGATAGGAAATTAAATTTAGTGAAATCTAATTCAACCTCCTGTCCAGAGAAGAAAAAAGGAGGCCTTCTTTTAAAAGCTCCTCTGTGAAGTGATCATTCAGTGCACCAAAATTAGCCCATTTTACTGCAGGTAAATTTAAATTAGAAATGTTTCATTTTATAGTAAGTAGAATATGTCTTTGTAAAGATACTGTATTACTGTGTGTTTCCACTTTCAACACCCCATTTCACTCTAGACCTAGCAATGATAAAGCACAAGGAAGGGAAGGGAGAGGAGGGAGGGAAAGAATAAGGAAAACTAAAGAAAAAGAAAAGAAAAGAAAAGGAGGAGAACAGAAAGGATACAACTTTGGGGGTCAGGAACAACACAAAGTGGCAAAGCTGGGATAAAGGCTTGCAGCAGCCTGGCTCCTGGTCTTGAGAGGAGCAGAGGGAGCCTGGAAGTTTGGTTTCCATGGACAGAGAAGAATGAATGTACATCCCCTGCTGGTGGGAAGCTATACTCCCAGTGTCCTTCTGGGCAGGAAGAGGATAAGTGGGACAAAAGTATGAAAAACTGAGATAGGAGAGAGGGTATGGCTTAGGCCACCTGGAAAAAGAGGCATGGGGGATCCCAGTATCTATATACTGGGATCCACCTCTCAAGACTCCCTGGGTAGAACTTCTCCTAAGTTCCCACCAGATGTGGGTGGCGCAGAAGACGAGGACACAAGGAGCCCACTCTCTTGACTCTTTCACAGACGCCCATCCTGGGTCTGTACTTTTATTTTTACTTTTCTGTTTTCTTCTTTTCTTCAGCCAAAGTTTGCTCTTCAGAACCAACTGCTCCCTTATTTTTCAAATAAGCTTTTGGCATCGTTTTTGGCCTGTCTCATTCAATTCTTTGTTCAAGGTGAGAAGGACCTGGAATGCATGTAATTGGTGAGCCAGTTCTAAAGGCATTGCCCAATAACTTAACAACTATCTGCAGCCATGGTTCCTGGAAAGCAGAGACCTGTCATGGCTACAAGAAGCCGAGAAAGTCTCTCCCTAGTAAATGCTTGGCCTGCTTGCTCAAGGGATTGAGACTACCAGGTAAGGGTCAAAGCACAAGCTTTAGTAAACTAAGCCAATGTGAAATGAACATCGAAGGAAAACAAAGACCTGAGGGAACCTGCTGTCACAGAGAGCGATAGCAGCTGTTGGGTTTTTTTGGCGCAAATTAAAACAGAACAAAGTAAAAATGCCTTTATTGCAGGCGCAGAGAAGACCATCCCAGGAAGGTGGGACGTGGAGCTTCTGAGGGCCTGGCTGTGGGAACAAAGAGTAAACAGGGCCAGGCAGGGGGCGGGGCTTAGCGAGCGGTTGGCCTGATGTGGCAGACTGTGATTGAGCAGGAGGCTGGCAAAGGAACAGGATGTTGTAAAAAGGAAGGAGAAAGTTGTAATTTGACCAGGGGGAGGAAGGCGGGGCTTGGTACATGGCCCTCAGTGGCCTGCCATATTGGCTTGTGGCCATGACGACTTAGCAGAATTTTTATTAAGGCCGAAAACCCATCAGCAGCACACAACAATAAAACTGCAGTTTTGCACGTCCTCTGCCCCTTTGCCCGCCCTTTTGCACACATTATATAAGCTTGTAGATTCAGGCACTTCCTCGGCGTCTCTATCCCATCACTAGTGACAGTTTTCCTCTGTCCTAATAAGCCACACTCTGCCCGCCCCTATTGCTTGCTTTTTGCATCCTTTTGGCTGCCTCAGAATAAGAATGCAGAAGGAGAGCTAGTTAGAGGATTGCTGAGGTTTCCCCATTCCTCAGATCTCCCCGTGGTGGGAGCTCTGGTCATCTACAGAAAGCACAGCTCTAATCTGAAAGTTCTGGAAACAATGTAAAACTGCTTGAAAGTGGTAGTGAAATGACAGAGACAGAAAAGTAGAAATCAAACAACTCCTTCTGATAATGAGCCAACAAAGG